ACTCCCCTAATTCAATTGGTCAACATTTAATGTGACCAAAACATCTAAGACGAATCTCTCTAATCTGGTCTGTCACGAAAGCATTTTCATCTCAGCAACACTTAACTTAGTTTTGTGTTTTTTCTTTCATAGGCCAACATACTACACCATAAAGCATTGCAGGTCTCACCACCATCTAATAAAATTTTCCTTTTAAGTCTAAGTGGTACTCTTCTATCACAAAATAGGCTCGATGCATTCCTCCACTTCAATCAACCAACTTGAATTCTACTATTAACATCTCCATCTATATCACCATCAAATTTATCATCACTTTGAACAATATACTTGAGATATCTTAAACATTCAATCTTTTTAACAACTTGATCACCATTATTGCAACTCCGCTGCTAGATCTACTACTACTAAAATTACATTCCATGTATTCAACTGTAGAATTGATCAAAAGAAAGCATTTAGACTCTAAAGTTGACCTCCATAATCCAATTTTTTTTCTAAACTCTTTCTATATTCTTATCCACAAGAAGGAAATCATCAACAAAAGCATACACTAAGTACATCCACCTTTAAATATAAAAAAAAAGCTATGGGCTTAAAACCGGTCCCTGATGTAATCCAACTGAAATACAAAAATACTTGGGCAATCCACCTTCCATTCAAACACAAGTAGCTGCTCTACTACACATATCTTTAATGACTTGAATATAATTCATATCAACACATTTCCTTTAAAGAGCTCTCCAAAGTACTTCTCTTGATACATTATCTTTTTTAATTTTTTTCTAAAATAACAAAAACCTTATCTAGATCCTTCTTACTCTCTTTGTGTTTCTCCATAAAACCTCTCAATAAAAATATAGCTTCTATGGTTGACTTGTCTTGCTTAAATCCAAACTTATTTTGAGCAATCTTTGTGTCACGTCATAGCCAATATCAATTATTCTCTCCTATAATTTTAATGCATGAGATTTTAACTGAATTCCTATATAATTTAAATTATGTATCCCCTTTATTCTTAAAAAATAGAGATCAATATACTCTTCTCTACTCATGCATCTTTTTAGTTTTCAAAATTACATTAAAAATTTTAGTTGGCAACAAAATTCCTAAATCCCCTTAACATTTCCACACTTCTATTGAGATATCACTAGAGCGTATTGATTTTTTACACTTCATTATCTCACCCACATATGTTGAATATCCTAATCTAAGAAAAACACTTTTTGATTTTTTCTTTAAATTAAATATTCACTTTCTTTTTCTCTTTGTTCCAATAGTTTATTTTTTATTTAAAAAGATTGGTCAGAGACTATTAAACAAGCCTCCCGACCAATCTCATGTGCCAACGAATTTAATTTCGGATCGAATCTGTGACCTCAAGGGTCTTGCAGAACTCTGCCAACCAAAGAATCATGATAAGTGGCATATATATATATATATATATATATATATAAACGCCCGAGCGGTGTATATATAGAAAAAAAAAAAAATACAAAAAGATATGAGAGGGCCCAATAGATGAAATCCTACTCATACGATACATCGTATAAAAATATCCCAACAAAAAGATACAAAAATCTCAAAAAAATGAAAACATGTAAAAACAAATGTCTATGGACGAGGCAGTCTAGACCTGCCTATTCCTCTGGTTCTTGAAGCGGATCCAGATAACAAACTCTGAAGTGTTGTTTCGTTGCCAAGAACGACCAAGTTATCATCCATTAAATTTCCAAGCTGAACAGTGACACCAACCTTCTTCCTCCGCCGAAAAGTGTAAACTTGTCATTCTTCTTCTGAATACTAGTCAGTCTGATTCATAGAAAGAAAAACAGTTGCAGTGATGAGTTTCAGTGTTTGTGTAGGACAGTCTTCTAATACTTGGGAAACACATGCCCTCTCAACAGGAGTTCTATCAACTGATTAATAGCAGTAAGAAGGTATGTGTTTGGCTTTGAATCTTCCTCGTTAGTATTAGGAGACACCTTTTTCGTCATCTAAATGTGAATATTCGCTTCATCCTTATCTTCAATCACCTCATAGAAGGAAGCCTGAGCACCCTCCACGGTAGGTAGAGCCTGAGAGGATAGTATGTCCACTCCAGTAGAAGAAGGGGCAGTGATCGCATCCTGCCTTCTAGGGGCAACCACCTGGCTCTCATCCAACAAACAACCCTTATCAACATTTTCCAAAACAATATCAGTAGACAAACCATTTTGCACCATATTTGCATGGCATAGCAGTAGGTATCATAGGCAGTGAGGAAGAGGGTATAGTCTCCACAGAAATGTGCTGAGAAACAAGAGGCGGGGCTACAGCCGGCCGTAGATGGGGAAGCAACCGATAACAGGATGAAGAGCTATGACCAAACATTCCACAGTGAAAGCAATATTGGGGATGAGGTCCCATCACAATCTTCTGCCAATAACCCTGATGAGGGGAGCCAATCCAAATCTCCCCTGGAAAGGGTTGAGTGATGTTGCGCTCTACAAGCACACAAACTTCAGAAGACCAGGTTGTATCAAGCGTGGAAGTATCGACCTTCAGCGGTTTCCCAAAAGCAATTGTCAAAATATAAAGGGTTTCATAATTGAAGAGATGCGCCTTGAGCACTGAAAAATTAACCCAAACTGGGATAATAGGAGATTCCGATTTATGATCAAAATCCACTGTCCATTTCAGAAATTTCATAAAGCGATTATCGATTTTGAGAACTTTTTGAGCAAAGAGTTGAGTATAATCCGCATCATTTGAGAGTTGAATGAAAACGTGACGGCCATCTAGCGAACCAACTTTCCAACTCCCTGTGAGCATAAGAATCGAAATGTTTTCTAATAATCTCAATCTTGGGATTTCCATACGGAAATTTCCCAACAAGAGTATATCTGCATGTTGAAGCCAATATACTCGTTTCCTTATCAGTGAGAAACAAAACGGGTTTGCTATTTTTTCTTCCTTAGTTTTTTAATAAAGGTATAAACACCTCCAGATTCATGTGCATCATGAAATTCTTGAGGGAAGAAACAGGAACGACAGCCTGCCCCTGGAGTGGAACCCCTATAGACAGTCGCAGCATAACTCGGGGGCATTCCCCCAAACCGGAACAAAAGCAAAACTCAAGTGAAAAAAACCCACGCGCGAAACTGGAGTTGAAGCAACGACGAACAGAAACAGGGAAAACAAATTTCGATCAGAAGCGGGGAACGCGACGCGACAGTGGTCGGGCGAGAAGTCATGCGAAATTGTCGTCCGACAGGTAGAAGACGTCACACGAAAAAGATCCACGAGCGAAGCCTTCGTCGTCGGGAACGAAGGAGAGACCGAAGGACGCGAGCAAGCTCGTCGTTTGGCAGAAAGGAGACGACTCTCGAGCAGAAAGAAGGAAAGAAGCCCTTCGTTGTCAGGTACGACAAAACCGAATGACACGAATCTTCGTCGTCGGAGACGCCGTAGCCCGTGGAGAAAGCCGATAGTTTCAAAATATATATATTGGACGGCACACACACACACATACATTATATATCACTTAATTTACTACATAATTTATTATAAAGATCATTAAAAGCATAATTCTTAGCATCACAAATTATTTCTTTTAGACTCTCTACGGGTCAATTTATATTTTTCCCAATTCTCTAAATTTTTACATTTAAAACAATTTTATAACAAAAAAATCATATATTTTATATTTCCTTATACATGATTATTCCACCACCAACTATTTTCACTTATATTTTTTATTCTCTAAACACGGCTTTTGTGACTTAGGGTTGGTTAATATTGATTGTTACTTAATCCCATATTGCATTAGCTTCTTCACAAACATACCAAAACTTAAGATCCTGAAGTTTACTCATAAAAATAATTGTCTTTTAATTGCCCCCATCAAATTCTATGACAATATTTTATTGTATTTTTCAACTATTCATCTTAAGATTCAAAATAAATAATCAATGTTGAGTAATTAATTTTTCACTAAAATTGGATTTATAATCTTTGCAATCTTGACGATCTTGTTTTTTCTCATACAAAAATAATCAATTTGTGTTTTATTAAATTCATTCTTATAAATAAAATTATATTCATCTCCTTTCTTAAATAAAGTATTAATAATAACGAAATCATAAGCTAAAACAAAATCTAATATGACACTACCTTCTTCATTAGTCAATCTAAGAGTGTAATCACCATGATTATTTTTCAAAACTTATATCACTCTACCAACAAGTCCAATTAAAACTCTTTCAATAAAAAAATTTCTTCAAAAGGTATCATCTATATTATTTCTTTTAGGTCATTCCAAAATTTTTCTTTTGAACATATATACGAACATACTTGAGGAACATAAGCACTTAAAACACTAAGAATCATAGTATCAACAATAATCTTCAAGGCTATAATTTTATATCCAATTCCATTAATTTTTACAACATTATCTTTCAAACTCATATCTATAATTACGCATACATCAATTTTAGTATGACTCCTACCTGAATGTCAAAGTAAAACCTAAGCTATCATTCTCCTTAGCATTTTCTCTAACACATTTAGTTTCTTCAATTCATCAGATATAATTTATTAGTGAGAGTATCTAAATTTCAAGATCCTATCCTAAACCCTAAATGCAATATAGAATGATGTACAATAAAGCAAAAGCAACATATAAAGATAGTAAGAGGAAGGAAAAATGTGGTGGCAATATGCCATATTGCTATGATAAGCAAAAAAAAACAAAAAATTGGGAAAAAGCACCCAAAAAATGAAATGTATCTAGCTGGCTCCTACTAAAAAATGAAGATGTAAATGAAGGGAATGAATGTCCCCAAAATTTTGGGGTCTGAGCGGTTTCTCCCAGATCAAGAATCTAACATACTAAAACGAACAAAGGGAATGCTAGCAGAGATGCTTGTTCTTAAAAGTGACTTAAAAATGCAGCTTCTGTATCTTAAGATAGGAAAATAAACTGAAGATGCTGTTTTAAAATATACAAATTAAACAATAACCTGAGCTTTTAGCTTGATAAGCAAATTATCAATAGCCGAGTTGGTGTAAGATGTCAATAAAATGGATGCGCCTCTAATCAGGAAAGCCTTAACAGCATGAACTATTGTTGAAGTTTTCCCCGTTCCGGGCATTCCCAAGATAAGTGCGTAATCCTTGGCAGAAAGTATCTGGAATAATAAGTCGAGTAAACATAATGGAATTAAATGGAACTACTATTTGACATAATTTCCAAATGAATTTCAAAAAAAATTCGAAAAAAAAAATAGACTATATGTTATGGTAGTTGATTGTGCATAACAATAAAGAGAACCAGAAATGCTTACCTTCTTTATGGCTCTACGTTGGTCGTCATTTATACAACTTTCCAAATGTACATACGAGACTGCTGGGTCCTGGCTAAGTAATCCGCCACTATCAAATCTAGGTGCCTAAAAAGAAATCAATCAAAAGAACAAGGAAATCTGAACGATACTGTACAGCATTAATGTTCAAATAAGAAATTGAACAAAAAAACAATACTCACCTCAAGGTCAACAACCATTTTCCTAAGCCGGGAAATTTGTAAATTCGAATCAAACAACTCCAGAAGGTTGAATCTTTAAAAAGAACAAGCAAGCAAAACATTAAGCAGCTGCACTAGAACAAGCTATGATAAATGAAGAGAAACAAATTCGAACTGATACACAACCTCATCATTGAATATGATGTAGCAATCTCATCCTTGTCAATCCTCCACACTGCATGCATTAGATCAGCTTTTGAAGAACGATGGTTACCTGGAATCCTTAAGCGCCGAGAAAGAGATATCTAACAAAAAAGCAGCTAGGCAAACTAAATTTAATAGTTAAACATAAATTGATAGCTTGTAATATTAAAACTAGTCAATATGAACATGAAAATGAAATATTAAGGTTTGGTACAAATAAGAAGCAAAAATTATGTATTTTAAATGAGATCCTTACAGAGATATGAAATTCATTAATGCCGCATATGATTCCCTGCGCAACTGCTGGACGTCCATTCACCATGCTGATTATCTAAGCACAAAACATATAAAATTAAGTATGAAAACCAAGCTAAAGAAAGAACATCTGTGGTGCTCAATGAGCAGCACCAATGATTATAAAACAGAAAAAAGGTTAAAAACAAATATATATATATCTATATATATGCTTAAATCCAAAC